GACAAGGTGCGTTCCCTTATGTCTTGCTGCCAATCTTTTCAATTTTCAAAAACTATGTCAAACAACCTATACAGTGAAAGGAAACCGTGAGCATACTTGTGGCCATACCTAATTGGTCTTTATACCGTTGATTAGTTATATTATTGCTTAACTATAAATTAAATAAGTATGAATGATATAAATATTTCAGCAAGTAAATCCAGTATCTGTAAAAATGCGCTAAAAGATGGCAAGAATATAATGTAAAAAACTCAAATTGCGCTCAAAAATTCTAAGATCAAACGTTATTCTCATTGAAAACTTCCCCCTTTATTCTTATGCTAATAGTATGTCGACAAAACGCAGAATTCTTGACACATCATGATTCCAGTCAGTTTTGACCGAAACTTTTTTCAAATATTAATAAACTATTATTTATTATTTGTTCTTACTTCGCTAAGGTAATTAAAGCACTATCTCTCTCTCACTCTTACCATATATATTATATTTATCAATAATATGGCACTCAATCTCCACAATCCCTGCAAAGTTGGCAAAGTTAAATGCCACATTTTCTATTTAGCTATTACATATTTTCTGAAAATTTTCGGAAGTAAAGAAGACATATTTTGGCCTTTAATGACTATGACCTGGTAGTAAGATAAAGTGGCAAAATATGTTGCTAGAAAAGAAACTTAGGCAAATAATAAGCTTCAAATAAATTTATTAAATATTATCATCTCATCTATGCTTCAACAATAATGCTCACGCTAATAAAGAATAAGTACTTTCTTCTTTGTTGCAATTATAATAAAAATCCATGTGAGAATAAGGAATAAATACAGAAAGGAGAAAGAAGAAATTTAGAATTAGCAAGATGAAAGCATACATGCCTATAATAAATTAATAAATAATTTATATATGAAATTTAAATTCATAAGCTTATTGATTATGTTATTATATGAAATATTATATAATCATAAAGGATGTATAAATTAAATCGCCTAGCTCACTTACCTCCGACCACTTAGTTTGAACCCAAACCACTGGGAAGCACTTTCCCTCGCATTCTACAATAGATGGACCTGGCTGAGTGCCAAGGCCGGCTCGAATACATGCCACTTCTCCCAATTCTGCAGGACGCCAATAACCACGACTATGACGGACTCTCACAGATCTGGGACTCTTTTGTCTCCCAAATTCATCCTTAAAATCCTCGCTATTCTCTTGTGTTTGCTGATATTTATCCACTGCTTTGCTCAATGGCTTCGGTGGAATAATATGCTCTTCACAGATATGAATCATTTCTCGGTGGCCTCTTCCACATCGAGCAGAGCAAGGTAACCCTCTACTCATCTGGGTAATTGATAGTTCAGATTGACTAGTCTTTTCTGGATTTTCAGATAAAGAAACGGGTAGCTGCCTCCATCGCACTCCACAATAGTGGCTGCATTGACGGCGAACAGGAGCAGGTCGGGCATTGGAGTCACAATTATCCTCTGGCACTGGCTGCAACAGCTCATAGGGAGAAAAGAAACGGGCATCCTCAGGGGAGCTGAGCTTAGGATAACATGCCGGGTGGCTGATTACAGAGCCTAAGTAGAGTAAAAATAAATGCAAATAAGAATTTATATATTTGCCTTAAAATAATTAATATCTAAGGCATTAATATCAGCTTATTGATTCTTGGGTGAGTGAGCTTAGATGACTAATTACTATTAGTATAAACTTTGGTTTAGGTGAAATTTAATCCAGGTTGATAGGTAGACACATGGTTAATAAAAATAAATTATTGAATTAGCTACAGAGGAAACTTAATTTTGGCATCTAAAATAGGGCTCCAGCGATAACAAGATGATATTGCAAATAGGCAAATGTGTACAATTTGCGCCACTTCAGCTGGGAGTTGAATTAAACTGTATATCCAAATGAAGGCTCTATAATCACTATAAGATGAATTTTATCCATGCAACGCAGTAATAATAAAAAATCAAGGCTTCTATTCGCCAAATAAAATCCGCTGGTAGTTTTGAACCATTCACACATATTTTCATGGAAATTATTTATCCGCATCCTCCTTAATATGAAAACGCTTATCTACTCACCAGTAAAGACTGGTTCATACGACTGCCAGATGGCATTCCTTTTCTATAAGATGTCATATTGGAACAATTTATTAAGAGGCTCCCTGCTTTAAGCAAACCATTGGTATGCTTTGGAGGGGCAAGGCAGACACATTTTTACTTTCTTGGTACAATTTGCCATCCACTCTTCCAACAGCCACAGCAAGTCGCTTCAGACAAATTCACAGCAGTGATATCCGTTTACAAAGCTTTACTGAACGTCGGTATATTCAGTCCCTTCCTTGGGCAAATGCAAAGTGAAATTCCATTGTGAGCATTATGCCTATACGATCAAGGTTTATACTTGCTAAAGTAAAAATCCTATAGAAGTTCTGAATTTATTTTACTATTTTAAGCATACAGCAAATACTTATAGCAAAGGTGAGAATTGCTTTGCAGATATAGATATAAGTTATAATTATATATTTATATATATAAATATACGATTATGGTTTTCATTAGCTCCTAATACTGCTTATATCATAACAACTATTTTTATTAGATTTAATCATATTTAAATTTAATAGATTATTCATTTATTTTATATTCCATAAATTTTATTTGCTAAACATTACTTAATCTGAAATCATGTTTGAAAATGTTATTGGTGTGATAAAGTGCACAATTATGGAGGTCGTACCAGCACAACTCGTGCATCCACTAGGTAGCTCACTAATTTGCCAAACGAAGTGTATTCTTTGTCTTCTAGCACGACTTGCATCTGACTCTTTTCGATGCCTCACATGCGAATCCGGCTTTTGCATTTCCTCTATCGTTGGTCGCCTTCGTGAATATATATTGCGACCTTCTTGCTCTTTGGCTGATGAAGAGTGCTCCTCTCGAATTTGGTCATTGTGGTCTTCTATATTATCTTTTGTTTCGTGAGAATCATTTTCCTGATTTGAGCGACCTGTTTTCTCTTCTCTATGTTTGGGATTTTTACGTTTACCAGAGCCGGTATCATATGCATCGTCATCATCTTTATCATGGAAGTCACGAGAAGAAAAGTCAGTAGATGAAGATCTACTTGCTCGGTTATTCATGATATCCGATTCACCAGTTGGAAGAAAAAGTAGATTGCTATCCGGGCTATTGTTTACCCAGAAGCTGTACTCAACAGGAGGAACAGGAAGACTAGTATTTTGATTTTCTACCCGAATCTAAAGCAAATAAAAACATGAAGTATATGAAAAAGAATAACTGACAGTAACTGTATTAAGCACTTAAAGGTATTTAAAAATTCTAATTCTAATATATGATACTAGATATATAAATTAAATCACCTAGCTCACTTACATCCGACCGCTTAGTTTGAACCTAAATCACTAGGAAGCACTGCCTCTCGCATTCTACAATCAAGGAACCTTGTTGACTGCCAAGGCCGGCTCGAATACATCCACTTTTCCCAATTATGCAGGACGCCAATAACCACGACTATGACTATAGTAGACTAAAAGATTCCTAAAGAGAAAAAGTCCTTACTAGAAAGCAACTCACTTTATAGAAATCACGAATATACTTTTTCTCATTGTCTAAATAAAAAGAATATCCCATTGATATATGTAGCTCTAGCATACAATTTAAAGGCTAGAGTTGAATTTATTCACTAGACTTAACGTAACCTTAGGATGAATTAGTTAAAAAGTACCTAGCATCAGGTTTATTCATGCAACTGTTAAAACTCATATGCAGTACTTTGAAACTAATTAGCTGGAGAGTAAACATTTGAAAAATGTCAAATTTTTAAAATAATCTTGCTATGGCCGATATAAATATTAGCAAGTAATTATATAATGGCCAATTTGCCAAGTGACTCGATTCAATATATGAATTTGAAATTATTAATTAATTTTAATTGGAGCTATAAAGACCAAGAGGGTATGGCCTTTTGTATACCCACAGTCTACTTTCATTGTATAGAAGTTGTTTGACCTTGTTTTCGCTAATTTGTCATTTTGGTAGGAAAGCCTAGAGGAACACACCTAGTCCGGACTCCATAGTGTACATGATAATTTGCAGTCGGACTGTGGACGTAGTAGATTCCCAGACGTTTCGCCGGCATCGTCAGCGAACATTTTCATTCTTAGCACCACACTACAACTCGTCAAAGAGACAAGGGAAGCCGATCCTTTGACCAGTTGTCTACTA